GTAGCGCACAAGAGGTCATCAGCCGTAAAAACAAATGGGCCATCAAAGTGAACTAGCTTCCCTCCTGCTTCACCTCCTGATTCAACTTCACCTCCTTTTCCTGCACTTCGTGCAGTACCAGCAGCAGCGGATGTTTTGGCAATATTCCCATTCTTTTCTTTAGCGGCTGCTCTCTTCCTGACCAAACAGCAAAGCAAAACGCAGCAAAGTAGAAGAAGAATGACAAGAAGAGCACCTGCTACTATGAGGATTATGTCCTTGGTGCTTAGTTTACGGTGGTGTGGGTTCAATGAAGGTTTTGGGGATGGAGATGGAGGATTCTGAGGTGGGGGTGAAGAAGAAGGGCATGGTTTTGAAGGGACATACCCACAGAGTTGGAGATTCCCAGCAAAGGAGCTAGAATTGAATCTTTTGGAGAGGAGGGATGGGACAAGGCCAGAGAGATTGTTGTAAGAAACATTAAAAGAGGTCAAATTTGCAAGCTTGGTAAGTGAATCTGGAATCTCTCCCACGAGTTTATTTTCAGAGAAGTCAATCTGCGTGATCACTGAGAAGTTCCCAATTGTTGATGGGATTTCACCCTCAAGCTTATTATTATGCAGGTTAAGCACAGTAAGGTTTTTTAACTGGTCAAAATTATCTGGGAAGCTACCATTAATGCCATTGTTTGATAGATCAAGAGTTTGAAGCCTCGAAAGCCCGCCGAGCTCACTTGGAATAGACCCTTTCATCTGGTTATGGCTAAGAGAAATCTCTTGGAGAAATCCCATCTCACTCAAAGAAACCGGAATGGTTCCAGAAATGAGATTGTGATCGAGGGTCAAGATTTGAAGATTGTAAGTTTGGTTTTTTCCCATTCCACTACCCCATGAATCTGGGATAGAACCAGAAAGATTGTTGTGTTGAAGAGCAAGAAAAGTTAAAGAAGGAACCATAGTGAAAGTTCTAGGAATAGAGCCAGAAAGAGAGTTAAAGCTCAAATTGAGTCTGTATAATCTAGTAGAGTTTACTAAGCTAGGAGGGATAGTACCTGAGAGCGAGTTATTGCTAAAATCAATAGACTGAAGCAGTGGGCTATTCCTGCCAATGGAAGGAGGGACAGAACCTGAAAGCCTATTGTTGAAGAGGTAGATTCCTCTGAGATTAGGAAGGAAGCCAAGAGACCAAGGGACAGGACCACCTAGTACATTGTCGTGTAGACTCAGCTTCCTAAGAGCTTGAAGCGATCCGATTTTCTCGGAAATTCGACCACCCAATCCCCTCCATGGAAGCTGGATTGCAATAACCTGTCCCTTCACGCACTTGATTCCTGCCCACCCACCAGAACAAGCTCCAATTCCACTGTCATTCCAGCTCCTCAGAACTCCTCTGAAATCGATGAATTCTCGCTTTATAGCTCGCAGAGCCTGATAATCGGCTTGTGTAACAATCACACCATCCCACGAATGGCCTCCTGAGACTGGTTGAAACGTAAATGCCAGAACTTGAAGAACCATAATGAGGGAGACGAAGAAACGAGAAACGGGTCTTCCTTCATTTGTGGGAAACTTTTCGGCAAACCGATTATTGTTTCCCATGCAGGAGGAAGATGTCTTTTTCGTTTAAAGGGTGGTGGGAACAACAATGGATAATCAAAGGACAGTCTCTGTTTATAGCTTCTCAGTTCTAAAGCTGGGTTTCAGAAAGCACAGTGGAGGAAGATGAAGAAGATGCAAGTGAAAAAGGAAGAGCGAGAGGGTTAGAAAAAGAAGAGAAGGATCGTGATGAGTCCATGTGAGGGGTGGGGTTATCGGTTTTTGGAGGGTCAGGGAGAGAGAAGGAAGAAGGAATCGGTCAAAGCTCGCGTTTTTCTTAAATCGCAACGGCTAGTTTTACCTGGATACATTATCTGCGTATAACGGCTTGGTCTCTCTGAGCAAATGGGGCTCAGTTTTCCAACGGCTACATTGCATAATGTATATTCTGAAGATGACCCCAATATGCAATTACCAAAACAGCCTTGAATCGGCAAGTTTATAGGATACTTTCTGTGGACCAAACTGGAAAATTAACGTTCAATTTACTCAGACTTTGTCGAGGATTTATGATGCTAAATATTAAAGAAGCTTTTTTTTGGGCCAACAGAAAGAAGCTTTTCAAGAGATCTAATCATATGTCACCGGTAAAAATATTACACTACCTCCTATCCTACAGTTTTATTTACTCTATAAATAAAATCTTATACTAAGGATCGGAGATAGTATTTTCATAAAAGGTATGTTATATATTTTTTATTGAAGAATTTGATATAAACACTTAAAAATTAAGGTTAAATGTTACAAAAATAAAATTTTTTTTAAGGAGTTAATTAGATTAAATGGGATCTCTTCCAAATAAGTTGAATTTAATTATTTTAGAAAATTTTCTAGCTCAAAATTAGACAGTGTTTAACAGCTCCTTGAAATATTTTAATATTAATATCATAAATAAAAGTGATAAATATAATGTAATATTACTGATAAACATCATATCTGTGTGTCTATATAATAATTATTAGATATATATATATACAATATATGATATTTTAGCAGTGTCTCATGATTTGGCCCAATTTTTATTGCGGGTGGCAGCTTATGCAAGAGAGTTGCTTTTGATTTCAGTTTATGTAATTTTGTGGAAGGTGTTGAGGGGACACAAAAAGGTCTGGAAATTGAGAAAGTTGTGTTTATGGTGACATGTGCATTCTATAAGGAGGCATCAACTAGACACAGACTGCCCACCATAACCTTTCATAAGGCATCGGTCCCCGGATCATTTTTTTTTATTACATTATTATTCATGAAAATCAATCAATCAATTAATTAATTAATTTTGCTTTAAGAAATTATTCACGTGTCTCTCTCACAACCAATTTCCCGCAACTACTTAATTTGGCCTCTTTCTCAACGATTTTTAGGTTCATATTTGGAATTGGAATGACTAGAGAAGTGAAAATGAAGGAAATGATGATTAAAGAATAATAATAATAATAATAATCTATAATGAGATAATGAGAGTAATATGATGTTAAACTTTTTCTCCTAAAGTTCATTTGCTACCTCATATTCAAACACTATCAGATTCCCAGTTTTTCTTTTTGTTTTTTGTTTAGCCGATCATCAATTGAAACATAACAAGCCATATCCAACAAATAAAGTCACATTCATAAAATTTTCTTTTACAGATCAAGTTTAAAATAACTGAATAAAATATGACTAACTACCTAAATCAATTTATGTATATACTATCTCATGTCTTTAATACAAGCTGGAAAACTAATTTAGAGAGAATAAGAAAATTAGTTAATTATAATAAATATGTATTGATTTTTCTAAACCACCCTTTTAATTATATATGTTGAAAATATCTCTCAGTAGAATTTCTTACAATCAATAAGAATAGTTTAAAGAAACCATTATAAATTTGAGAGACAAAATGAATAAAGATCTTATATTTAAAATCAAATCCAATCTCAAACAAGTTCACGCATAAAAGACCAGAGGTAGTACATAATTCCGATGCTCCTGCATGTTTAGTCATTTTGACACAATCTAGTGACTCAATTTACCTTAAAAAATCAATGTATCAGGTATCATCTAAAACAACTGGTTTGTAAGCCATAAAAAATGCAACCTGTCTCAAACTTGTAAAGCCTAGTTTTTCTCATAAAATTAGCATGCGAGAATTTAAATATAATTTTCAAGTGATCTTTCTTGGGACAAAACTTGAAGAGATGAATGACATGAAGAGGATGCAGGCTTTAATGCTTAGCGGAAAGGGCAAGATTTATGCACGGCCTCCTGCCAAACCGGCATTTTTAGTTACCAATAAATAACGTGTTGAAATATTGCTACTACCAACAGCAATATTTGTTTTACTTTTGGCCAGCAACATTTTTTTTTCTGGCAATTGACTAACATTTTGATACGTGAGTTGTGTGAAATGATAGTTCTCGTTTTTATTCCTTCTGTTTGCCCAGAATTCCAGCAAACTACTATGCACCTTTATAACGAGACAAATCAAAATATAATGGCTTCATTTAAGTTCCATCCAGAAGGCAATGGCAGCCCCGCATCGTTATTTCATGGCTCTTGATTCATAACAACAAACAATGAGCATGTTCTATTTTCATGGAATGAATGGAGGCAATCATGCTAGAACATTAGCAACAATGGAAGCTAGAATGTTAGATACCTATATCTTCTATACATCAATCACAAAACAAGACTTCTCGTAGCTCGGAATCAACAACAGAACCATCACAAAGTATTCTTCTAACTAAATTGAACTTTGACTCGCAAGTTACATTTAAAATCTCTACTCCGTAGTATCCCAGACACCACGGAGCACAGCGCCAAACTATCACGGTTGTACCGTAATATTTAAAATCCTCATATGTCTATTGTATTCACAAACTGAAGGTCATCCAAGAAATCACACAACGCTATTCTATAATCACATACGGGTATGCTGAATCCTGATATCGATGTCAAGATCAACAAGATGTTCTAATCAATTTTTCCATGATATAGAGGGGAAAAGCGAAAGGGATGTCTTCACCCCAAGTCTAACTTCACAAAACAGAAGCCAAAATTGCTCATGCAGGTTCACAGTCACATAGATTCAAAAGAAGAAACAACCAATGCCTTCTCTATTTGACTACTAAACACATTAGGAACAGTGGTGTAAGCAATCTCAATTATGAGATCTAAATAACAACACAGGCAAACAATGCAGAAACGGCACAGTTCGTGATGGAATCCAACGGGCGGCAAAAGCGATCTAACCATTCCTTGATAATGTCGAGCCTAGCAATAAAAATCAAAGACATCTATCTAATGTTTGATAAAAGCAAAGAACTAACAATAAAAAAGGAAACTGAAATGTAATCACCTAAGCAACTAGGCAATCCATGTTCCCGTACAGCTATGAAACGAGGTTACAGGCATAATAGATATCTAACGCATGGAGGCATAGACATCTAACACAATTAAGAACATTTGCACAATCTGCTTTAAGAGAGCCAAATTACCAAAATGAATAAAACAATTGAAGTATAGAGATAACAAAACAATTCAAGTATAAAAACTGGTAGATCCACCAACAAGAGTTGCGAATCCTACATGAAACAGCACAAAATAACAGAGAACCCTACAAATCTCATGTGATTCACCCTATGTATAGTAAAATTTGTTAATACATTGTCATAGAAGGCAAAAGCATATTTTCTGCGTTTATCTCACTTCCAGGTCCTAACAATGAATTTCACGGATCAGATCAAGACCCCATTACCCTGTTATCCTCCTGGATCTGGATTCACCGATCTGCTCAAACACGTGCAGTGACCGGAGGTACGGAAGAGGGGACAGTGGCATTGGTTGCAGCACCCCGGAGATATGACAGGAACCCAGTGGTTTGAGAAACCTCCTGTTCATCCAAGAAGAGATCTTCGGGAACCCTGAAGGCACCGTGAGCGCAGACAACAGCCACACCCACCATGAGAGCCGAAACAAGAACAGATCCAACATTGGTAAGAAAGACCACAAACAAAGTGAGGCCGCCCAGGAGCGCCAAGGTCTCGAAATCAGAGAAAGTGCGACCAAGAATGACCAAAGGCTGATCAGAGGGACGGAAGAGGTATAAGAACATCCAGGAAGCGAGCAAGCCGACGAGGACAATAAGAGAGAACGGATTCGTAAGCAGAGACACAGCAAGGATCAGAGCAATCATAGCATAATAATTGACCCGAAAGTAAGAATAATTCTTGCGGATCCGGAGGGTGGCTTCAGAGAAACTCTCTGGTTTCGCAAAGGCCGTACGGTCAACGAGCTCACCCCAAGGACGGCGCTGAGCAAGGCCATTACGGACGGTATCGGAGAGGTGCCCGATGAAGGCACGGAAGGCAGGTGTAGCAACGGGTCCTCCAGATTCAGCCGTGGCACCAGCGGTGGGCTGGGAATTGGAGACGGGGAGGACGGGAGGTGCAGCAGAAGCCATTGTTCGGGGTTAGGAATCAACGAAGAAGAGAGAAGAAAGGAGAGATGGATTTAACGGGATAGCAAAACCAGAAATGGGAATTGAGGAGAAAATGCGAAATTGATGGACGAATGCGAAATTGGGAAAGGAGCAGTGAAATTGAAGGGAAAGAGATAAGAAGGTCGATGGGAAATCAAGAAGACGACGTATTACGAAACTCGGCTTCGTTGTTAAGATTCCACCACCGATAGTCGCATTGGCCTTTTGCTGTGCGGATCTGAGTCAATGCTGGCCACTCGTCGATTACAATGGCACGCGTATTTCCTTCTGTCGTCATTTATATTTCTTCCCGCATTCGACCTTTGTTTTATTTTATAATTATAATTATAATTATTATTAATTTTCAAGATAAACATCCAGCCTTCAAATACATATTTTTTACGCTATCAAGCTTTGATTCTTAACAGTTAAGTTTTTGGATCGGTTATTTATATATAAATATATACATTTGAGATAAACATGTGACTTTCAGATTTTTTTTTTTGACATACTTCGATTTGATTCTTCACACTTGAGATTTTGCAACGGTTCTTTATATACATACATATATATGTATATATTATATACCCACATAAATAGATAGATGTATTTATATATTGAAATTAAGGCATGGCTAGGGATATCGAAATTCTAATTCTCATTCTTTTAAGAGACAAGTAGCATTTTAACTAAATGGACCAAACTAGTGAAGGGGGTGCTAAGGTAACAATTTTAAAAAAAATAATAATAATAAAAAGCATGTACATTATTTCGCAATATTTAAAAATTTCAAACCATACACATCAATTTGAAATTTTTAAATTCATCCACATCAATTTATCATTTAGCAATTTTCAAGATACTTTATTGTCTTCTTCCCTTGTTTCTTTCAATATCTCTAAATATCCAGTCTTGCTATTCCAAGCATAAACAAATAAGGGGCAGCGGGAGCCTATTGTACTGTGATTTTTTTCTTTCATTATGCATTAAGCCACATACCACAGATTACCAGCCATTACTTCGTAACAAATTTAACCTAGAAAGACTAAATTTAACAATAGGACAAAACAGGGAATCAGCACTAACCATTCTCTTAAACAGAACGACCGTACGATAATAACAATGATCTAGGTCCCATCACTGGGAAGTCTCCCGGGGAAAGGATCCACGTTTGTTCCAAACAGCTAATCAAGTATTAATTGCACCAGTTACAAAGATATCCGTAATATAACATCATCCCCAGTCATAACAGTGGTTGGAAACAGAACAAACACCGCACTTGGTATCGAGGCAACACAACCATTCGAATGGGAGTTTAGAACGTAGACCCATTCCACCCGAAGTTTGAACCCTGCAAAGCAAGAAAAGCAGAGTTACCATCGAGTTGCAGTAATTCATGGCTATAAAAGTGGAGATAGGGTATGCTTGGCAGTTGGGAGGAGAAGGAAAGGGAAGAAAATCCAACCAAAATGGAACGTGAAGCAATAATTAAGTGATAACGTCCTCCCCCTTGTTTGGGGATATTCTCTCCTTCAGAATCCTCCAAATTAGGGGGACTTGAAATTGAAAAGGAAGAGCACTGGAAGGTTAGCTCAAAAACATTAACTAGCCTCACCTCCATTAATAACCCCAAACAAGAGTAAAATTTAATAAAAACTTCTCTTCTCCTCCGTTATTCTTCATCCAAACATACCCTTGAGAAAAGGGCTGTGCGTTCTGAGAGTTACGTCTATAGGAAAAGGTTGGATTTTTAAGTACAGCTAACAAGAGCTACGATAATAGTGTTGGACAGCAAGGATTTATTTACATGATCTAGTGCTGGTGTAAAGCATGCAAACACTGTGCATATTCTTGACTTTGATGGTCCTAAACAAAAAGGAAGAATGCAATAAGAAAAAAGTGCAGCACAGGTCAGTGACCCTTCAGGATAACTTGGAACTTCAAATACTTGCCTTTGTATCATAGAATTTTAAGAAGAATCGCGATTTGGGCACAGACAACTTGGTTTCGAGAATTGATGCAATTGCAGCACTAAGTTTCTTGTTCACATCAGGGTTAAGACCACCAATGGACACCAATTCACCATAGGCTGCAGGCTGCTCAGTCCCACCAAAAGACATCGGAATTGATCCTTTCAGTACAATCATTACATACTGCAAATCGGGGGAAAAAGGATTAAAGGCCAATCAAGTCAAAGAAATAACATATAATAGCTCAGCAGAAATACCGTACTTATTTTATATTTTAAGAGCCACATCAATGTCATGCTATTTATCTACAACATGGTTGCAGCAAGCATCCTTTTTGAGTAAAAGGGGAATTTCATTCCTGAATGATGATTACAAAACAGCCACGATGCCAGCAAAAACCATGCTAACCAATCATGTGTACAACTTTACATAGAGGAAATGCACAGTTAAAGGAAATGAGTCAGGTGATCCCCTTTTTCAGAAGGTTGGCCAAATACTTGACTTCGGCGGTTTGGTCTGAGACAGCTAAGGCCACACCAATAAGACTCTTTAAGATGAGCATGGATTGATTAGCAGATACAGAGAAGTAATCACTACGTATATTGCATAATAGTAAAACATGGGTCAGATGGCCAGCAAGTCATTAAGGAAACCTCAGAGAACTCATGAGTTTTTTTCATCAATTAATGCTTAGAAATAATGAATTCGCTCAATCTAATCTGATTCAGGCATTAGTTCCCCTTCTCAGAGGATAGCAGCGTAACACCAGCACAGCTGTAAATTCATTGGAAAGGAACTACATTGATTCATTAAAAGTCCAAAATAAAGAGCAGTTGAGAACAACTTTATGAATGATAGCACTCATAAAACAAACCAAGACCCGCTATCACCCCATCCTTCCAAATAAATAATTGAGTAAACCATTTCAACCTCATTCAAAGCCTGCAAAGAGGCCTTGATGCCCCAAATTAACTTAATGATAGTATAAAACCGCTTCCATGGATTACATAGTGAGAATATGACATAGATTCAGCGAAGTGAGTTGTCAACATAATTATCTGTTGCAAGCTAACACAATCAAATATCATGGCCAAGAACTTAAGTGGTAAGCTGACAACTAAACCAGGAGGTACATATTATTCTCCTGAATCCTGATATAACAAGAGGCACAGGACCAGAAAGATACTCGTAATCTACGAACCTCAAAATTTCACTGATTCCCTTGCAATCCAATTATAAGTATTTAAATAAATCGGTAAGAAGACAGTTCAACTATCACGGAATTATCCAAGACTTGAATCACAACCGAACCCACGTCAATATATTGAAGAAATGAGTATGCCTAATGACCCTCTATGACGATATCTGGACATAAATCTCAGGTTTCAGATTAGGAGGAAACCTACACGCAATTCTTACGAGGCTGTTGTCATTATATTCAGTTGAATCAAGAGATGTAAAGAAACCTTTATTACAGAGTTAACGCACGATGATAACTTGATAACAAATTCTGAAGAAACTTCACTTAAATATTGTCATAGAGGCTCTGGCGTCATTCGCCAGACTAGTCATTTCCTGATTCCAGAAGTAGCCCACCATTGAATTCCTCTATAGTTGTTGTACGATACGAAACGATTTAAGGTTAGAATCTAACATGATATACGAAGAAAGATGAACCTTAAAAATGGTGAATAAAACAGTTAAAAAAACAAGAATACAAGTACTGAAAAAGTGAAAGACCAAAAGCAGTATAAGTCATAGTAGCAGAAGGTTCAGAAGAAGTAGAAATAGGGGCCGAATTTCCTTACAGACTCAGGTTTGCCGATGAGCTTGGCGACGGTGGAGGTGGCTTCAGAGAGAATGGAAGAAGTGTCGACACCATCAAGGTTGACGTTGGTGGAGAGGTTAAGGCAAGGCATCTTCTCACTCCTCTTCTTGATCACTCAATTCTGAAACCCTTCTGTTTTGTTTGGGAATGAAGGAGAGAAGGGGGGAAATAAATTGACGGAAGTGATGGGGATTGGGGGAGCCCCTCCCGCGACTCGGGCCTAGTGGCTGTGAAATGCTTCAATTATGACCGTAAGATCTATCCGATGATTAGGAAGAGAGTGGTGTGCAATTTATTTCCTGGCTGAAAAAAGACGTGGCCGGAGCCAGATCACGGATACGAAACGGTGCGCAGCAACTTCGTTTATAACTTTATATTACCTCTTTTCTTTTTCAGTAAAAAAAATTGGTAAGTTGGATTGGAGACTCGCTAAGGTTAGAGTGTATTTTTAGACTCGACACTTACAGATCATTTATCAATAAAATTTTTACACCGATAATGGGATTGGAACTTATGATATGAACTGACTCTTTATATTATTCTTTTAGTTCTTAATATAAGGTCTAATTATTAAGTTAATTTGTGTCCTAAATATAAGACATATTTCTCATATTTATTAATTTTTTCTAAATTATCCTTATAGATACTTTCTCAATCATAATCAAATAGAAAAGGAAGAGAGGATATTAAGGTAGATGGTTATAATGTTTTAGGAAAAACATATCATATTACTTATAATTAATTAATTTGTCTAATTTTTTTAATCTAATTAAATTAATTAAATAGATATTATATTAAGGACATGAGGAGTTTTTTTTTTGTTTGTTTATATATGTTACGTCTTTTTGGTGCCATTTCCTACAGATTTTTCATCTTCTTGGTCTTCCCTTGCGGTGCCATTTTCTCCACCCTCTATCCACAATAACAATAATTGGGAATTCATTGTTAATGTATAAATTTTTTTTTAATTAAAAAGGAAGACAGCAATCAAATAGATTTGCCATTTTCTTAGCAGGAATATCTCCAACTCTTTCATTCCCAAAACTTTTCATTTCATCGCCCTAATTTCGAGTGTTCCCAAGTCCTCTGAACAACATCTACAAAGTTCTGGCTAGCCGGCCTCATGTTATCTTTGGGCTGCTTTTTATTTTCTGGGCTTAAAAGTCAGTCTCAAACCCCTTTCTTGCTATTTCAATTTTCTTTTATTATGAGATGTTATCGAAATTTATATGGAAGAATTACAAAAGCTCTCCAAAAAAGATATATCTACCAAAAAGTTCCAATAACAAGTAACTAGCTTAAACATATTGTCATTCTCTATTTTAAAACTTATCATTATTTACTCTTCACTTGTCGATAGAGTTTAAGATAATTAAATCTCTTCTTTAAGACCTGATCTCCCCGTTTATAAACATTAGCAAGCGCAAAATGATTTGAAGATAAAGAACTCACTTTCTTAGAAAGGGAACCAATATCAGAATGGTTGCCGGTTCCGATCCCTTGCATCATTTTCCAATCGTGGTTGAAAGAGACTTTAAAAGATTTGCACAGAGGTGGACATGGTGAGCTTTATAAAAGGTATAATTGTGCTATTAAATGTGATTTGGAGCAAAAGGAACCGAATCACTCACCAAAAGTATTAGCTATCTTTTTGTCTTTCTTTAGTTTGTCAAAAGTATTAGTGACTCCTATCCTATGATAGATTTTAGTCATATTTTACTGTTAAATTCTTGTCCTTGCTTTTCTGCTTATGTTACCTGATCTGTTATTTCTGATATTTTATCATGCATTTTGCTTTTCATTAAAAAAATTGATATACCCATTATTTTTCCCCTCGAGTTGGATATTATCATTTATAAAACTAAATTAAAAGACTCCAAATACAGGAATTGTTTTTCTCGATATCAAAACATATTAGTCCAAAGTCCAAACATCAACTATTTAATTCGCCTGCCATGCTTATTTGACGCAGTACGAATTTGAATTCAAAAAAGCAAGATAGTTAGAGGATTTTTTTTATATGATTATCTAATTGAGTTAAATTCGAGTATTGTCTGGTCCAATCGAAAATAAATCTTTCCAAAAAGTTTTTAGAAATGTTACTTCCGATTAAATTTAACAAGAGTCTAACTTAACTATGTAACCATGTAAAAGAAGGAGCCAATTTTAATTCTTAATTATCCATTTCCAATTACATGAACACTTAAACTTTTTTTTTTTTGGTTGGCCAGAACTCTTACACTTGCATGTTGCACATGTAATATGCTGCACAAATCCATTTTCAATTTCATTAATTAATTGTTGAGGAGAGTCAAGCCCTAATTGAAAATCGCCAACAAAAAGCATTCCACTCATCCTTATCTCAAGCACTAAAATATACATATGCCACACTCTTCAGTCAGATTTGGTACAAGTCAACCATAAAATGTCATCATTCCTAAACCAAGATCTAGTTTTTCTCATCTTTTTCCTGATTAAATTTAGATGGTTTGAATTTAATATTTAGAAAAATAATTACAAAATTGTAAATTGTTAGCATATATTAATAAATTTAATATATTAAAATTTAATCTTGACCACACAAAGATTCTAGATGAATGAGGAGGAATGAAGAAACTGGATTGAGTTTTTTTGTTCCAGTTAAAATGTCATTTTCAAAAGAAAGATATTACATTTATTTGCTCTTATTAAAAATAATAAATTAAATTACAATAGAAGTATTTGTAAACGAGAAACATGAAATATACCAACTTTCAAATGCATTTTCGGCTGCCCCATCATTAGTCAATGGCCTCCACCTGTACTACTGCTAATTTTTTTTTTGGCCAACAGCTATATTCGTCGTAATTAGTCCAAGTATATAAATTTAAATCCCCCATATTTAATTTTACAGATATATATAATAGTATCTATTTATTTTTTTTCATCATAGTATAGTATATGCTTATTAATTATATCAAATGTATTGCATGTGTTTGAAGATAAGGAAAAAGGTGAAAAGATTTCAGATCATTTAAAATGAAAACAACTATAAATTTAAAAATCTCAATTACAAATAAAGGACTTAAATTTAAATGTAACTTTAATTTATAATTGAGATTTTTGTTTAAATAAGTATGAGGTATCCTCCCTTTTAGCTCTTGCTATGAAGTGTTTTTGATCTGTATGTACTCCTCCGGTCCTTATTATAAGACCCCATTTGACTTTTTATTTGATCCTAATTATAAGACCCCAATCCATTTTGTCTCTTATATTTATGCATTTTTTCCAAGATAATCCTTCTAATAATGATAGTTTTAGCCAATATACTTAATTAATAAGGATATTTTAGGAATAACAACACTTATTTATTATAAATAACCAACTTAACTTACTTCCTTAATCTCCTCAAATAAGTCAATTGGGTCTTATAATTAGGACCGGAGGAGTATAAATAAAAAGTTAGTTACCTAATTAAAATGATACTACAAAAGTATGTCAAGGGGTGAAATGATCCAACTATTAGAAAATTTTATAAAACCCTTTATATTATGTGAAAGTAGAGGGAAGGAGTATACACTCACCTTTTACATGGGATATGTGTTTGATAATTGATTTGAAGTTGTAGAAGGGGAAAGATGCATCAAAATGCCTAACGCACGCTCTCCCTATATGTATGCAATGTTTCCGATGCACAATATAAGTTATTTTCACAAAATTTTCTTGATCTATTATAATATAAGTCACTTGAAGAGTAATTAGTACTTATTTATTAATTTTGCCCATTCAATTAATGCTTTAATATGATTTCTTGTGTTTTTTCCCCTCATCATAACCTCATTTAACATGGGTAAAATTAAAAATGATTTTAAATTGAAGACAAACTTAATAAGTTGATTACTATTTGTTACTTTGAAGTTGTGACTTACATTTTGGTGGGGGCATAGTGGGAGTCTTCAGTCTTTCACTTGACTTTGGAAGCAAACATAATCATTATTGGACATGAAATTCCTAGTTAGGGTACACAAATAGGGAGGCATTTGCCTAACTTCGCATTTCAAGAATCATATATTCCGATCACTCTTTATTCCTCATACATATTTCATAACTACTCCCCCCAATCATTGCAAAACGACAAACTTCCTTCATTCTTTTGTGTACGGTAATAAAAATAGGGAGAATTACATTCAAGTCTCAGAAGAGAAATAATCACTAAAAAGTTTCAATAACAACCTGAGCAGCCTGTAATAACAAGTTTTATAGTGAAAATGACAACTTTTGGGACTTGTTTTTCAATTGTTTTTCCTGCTTGGGACCTCATTGTAATTCTTTCATAAAAATATAATCCCCATTCTTCTCCGGGAATTCATTTTATGATTTATATATTAAAAAACATAATTAACATATTTAATACTAATATGCATCGATCTTAGGCTTTTAATTGTAACTCAATACTACTAGATTGATGCTCTATGAGTCGGGTGATGGGCGAATCAAACAAGTGAGTTCATTGAGTAGAGGCCTAACTTGCAAGCCTTTATGGGTAAATTTGTTCCTTATCACTATAATAAATCAGAGATTATGATGTATTGTTAATTAATAATTCATAATTTAATTATGTGTGCGCCTGTTTTTTTTCTTTTTTCTTTTTTGAGAAGGTTATTGTTTAGATCAACTTGTTTTTAAACATTTTACATTTTATAAGGTAGACACGTGAGAAAAATTTTGTCATTGTTCAGCATTCTACACACATGCTCTCATTCTCTCTGTATAATTCCTCTGATCCTAATTATAAGATCTTATTTATAGATTACAAATGAAATTTTATAATTAGAATTGGAGGTAGTATTTTCTAAATCAACCAAAGAGAGTACCCATTTCCATATTCTTGATTACTACGGGATTTTTTTAATTTAAGGGCAAGTGCACCCTACAAACTTATATATATATATATATATAATTATAAAGGTTAATATCATGTTTAGTCACTAAAATTTAATCTTATTTTAATTTTGGCACCTAAAATCTAATCTCCTTTTGGTTTTGATTCTAGAAATTTGAAACTAGTGATTTTGGTTTCTCAAATTTGATTTCATCTTTATCCACCTAAAGATTTTTGCACTTTGGGCAATAAAAACTAAAATAAAGTAAAATTTCATAGAACAAAACCACTTATTTCAAATTTCAAGAATCAGAACCACTAGTTCTAAATTTCAGAGACCAAAACTGAAATAAAGTCACATTTGAGAGATTAAAGATAATATCAATTCTAATTATAATAACTTATTGGGAGAAACATAATAATAATTATTATTACTTAATCGGACCCAGGGGTACACTATTAATGACCGTGGCCATGAGAGGCGGATGATCTCCAAAAATGTGGCGGAGAAATTGAAAGGGAATCAGTGTTATTACATTCACTCATAGTTTGGGGGAGGGGTTGAGACGGCGGAAGGCGGTGGTGTCAAAGACCTTGAGGAAGAATCTGGTTCTGGGGACGGAGAGCCTGGATTGGAGAATGGAGCCGATGGAGGCAATGAGCTTCTTCTTCACCTGTGAGTCTATGCCTCCCATCGACACTATCTCTGCGTACGCCGCCGGCTCCTTGTTCCCTTCAAATGATATCGCCACCGACCCCTTCACTATCACCATCACATACTGCACCCACCACCCACATCCAACCAACTATTTCAAACTCACATTAAATGGTACCACTAACTAATTTAAATTAACATAATATTACTTTCAATTCTAAGAAAATTAGCTAAATAAGTTAGTTATTTGTAGTAAATATGTGATGCTTTATTAATCATGTGTATTAGAACGATTTTTATTATCACAATAGAGATTTACTTGGGGAGAAAACAGATAAATATGAGAGACAAAATAGATTAGGAGATCTTATATTACTTCCGGTCTTGAATATAATGGCTAGTTGACTAATTTGAATAGATTAAAAAAATAAGTTAAGTTAGTTATTTGTAATAAATAAACATTATCTTTTCTAAAATATCTTTACTAATCATGGCTAGAACTACTATTATTGAAAGAACTACTTTGAAAAAAAAAAAGTACAAATATGAAAGACAAAATGAATCGAGATTTATATTTAAGATCAAAATAAAAGTTAAATGAGTTCTTATATTAAAGATCAGAAATTTAGGATCAAATTGAAATTTTAACTAGCTATTATGTTAAACACATGAGATACGAAATAATATAACCCCATGAAAGTGAAAGGGAATAGGGAGAACAGTGGTGGGGGCTGGCTCCTCATCAAATGCAATTTGCTGTGGCCTGTGGGGAGCCAGCTGCGTTGTTTTCACTTTTCAGATTTCACTTTCGTTCGTCCTCTGCCAGTTTTCATGTTTCATATGAAATGGCAAACAGAAGCATCCATAATACCCACTTTATCACCTCGGACCATTCACACCACTTTTTTCATCTTTGCTCCACTCCTCACTTTGCCCTCCATTATTAGATCACATCACACACGGACGCTACTGACAGGTTACATTCTTTTCAGATGCTAACTGGTTTCATACTTGAAGATTTATTGTAAGGTTTGAAAAAAAAAAACACATTCACTAATAAGTTCAATAATAATCAAGGAAGTACTACTTCCGTTCTTAATTATAAGAGCTAGTTGACTAATCTGAAGAGATTAAGAAAGTAAGTTAAGTTAGTTATTTGTAATAAATAGGTATTGTCTCTCTTAAAATATCCTTGTTAATTAAGGGTGTGAGTTAGAACTACTATTATTAGAAAGACAATCTTAAAAAATATATATATAAATATTAGAGACAAAGTGGATTGAGGTCTTATATTTAGGACCAAAATAAAAGTCAAACAAGGTCTTATATTAAGAACTAGAGATAGTAGCTCGTAATGATAAATTCTAATATGAAACTTTATAATAATTCTTTTAATGATCAAAAAAATTATTAAATAATCTAGATTATAGTAAAATTTGATATTATTAGACTAAAATACTCTTATAAACTATTGTTTAATTATTTTATGTTTATATTTATAATTTAATCATTTAGTTATCTTTATCATTGGTTTCCAATTTATAATTTGGATTTTAATATTTATAATTGTCTAAATTAATTTTTTTTTTTTTACAACCTCACACTAAAAGAAAATCTTAAAAAAGATGGTTAAGGTCACTTGATGACTTACAAGACCCCAATTCTCTAAATTAATATTTATAATTTAGCTTTTAAACAAATTTCTTGGAGATCCAATTATCATTTCCCTTTTCTTTTTTGGTTGGCTAGGATCCCTTTACTTACTCAATACTTAATCTGATATATTTGTCAGATGAAGTTTCCATCCAATCATTAAACTAAAAATTCACTCGTTGACCTCAAAACACCAGGCAATCATACACATGGACATTGGATTTATGAACTCTGCTAATATGAGTAAATATACTACCTTATAAATTAACAACTATGTTGGGATATTTATATTACACTGTATAAGTTACACATTAACTCTGCCCATACATTAAAATGATATATATATATATATATATATGACCAATCAAACATTGAAAAATAAATTAGGTATGATTAAAATTTAAAATTCTTATCCATATTTCATCATTTTAAAGGGGACAGAGTTGATTGCCACGTTCTTTTTGCAACCTTTAGCAGTATGGTCCTAGGACCACATAGTTTTTTTCAAAATAAATAAATAAACAAACAAACAAATTTTTGTCATTTTGAGATCTCTCTGTTAATCATACACAGACAGAAACTTAGGGGCTCCAAGGTTTAAACTCGCACACGCAATTATTTTTTTTCCCTAAATCCATAAATATATATATTTAAGAGAGAAACAAAAAAGAAATAATAAGTGTAAAAAATGAAAATGAAGTTTTATTTATAAGTTATCTTCTTAAATGAAGTTTTATATAAATATATATATGATATATTATTTTACAGGAAGTTTTGTTTTATAAATTATCTTTTTAAATCTTATTAAAATGACTATATATATGAATATAGAAAATTAACTCACAAACATCCAATAACCAGAGATAATTGCTAAAAATGAAGCCTATTCTAATTTCACACTATCCAGATAAGTTGGACTTTGATAAGAAGATTCCAAGTCGAAACAGAAGCAAGCTCGAATCCCAATGAACTAAGCGCACAAGAAACACCGGAGAATTAACAACAGAAGCACAAGATGAATCTGCGACGAACCAGATAAGAAAGCAAACACATAGATATATCATCCAGATATATAAAGAAGGTTTTCGATGGATCCTTAAGATTGAATTACTGGAGTTCGAATCGGAAATCAAGTTGAAGAAAGAAGAGAAAAAAATCCAGAGAGGAGAGAGAGAGAGAGAAATACTTTTGGGGGCTTTCCGATAATGGAGGAGACGGCGGAAGTGGCTTCGGAGAAGATGGGATCGATGTCGATTCCGTCTAAGTTAACGTTGGTGGAGATGTAAAGGCAAGGCATCGTTCTCTTCTTCTTCTTCTTCTTCTTCTTCGTCTGATTCTTCTGATTCTGCGTACCGTTAGAATGAAGAAGGGCGGAGATGAGGATTGAAGGAAGCAAGTGGGAAGCTCAAGTGAGTTTGATTCGGGGCAATCCCACCTTCTTGTGGACTGGTTTATATAAAGCCGATCCTGGGCTTTTACTGTTTTGACCATCTCCCCTTCCTTCCCGTTTCATGATTGGTTGGTGAAAAAACCTTGGAATTCCACCTTCCCCACTCGCTCTCCCTTCCCACTCCCTTCTTCTCCTTCTTTTCCTTTTATTACAAAAATAATAGGGAATATGTTTTTTTTTTACTTTGATTGTAATTTTAATTTCACTCAGGACAGCTTAATTAATTAATTTCCATAATTTTAGCCCAGTTGAATCAATTCCTCAATTTTAATTCATTATAACTCAATCTCGATAATTTTAACTATTTAAAAGTTTATTCCCCAAGCTTCATAAAATATATAATTTTATTTAAAGGAACTAATGCTTTTAATGTTTAAACTCTAGAAACTGAATTTTACGTACTTAAAATTTAAGAATTGGAGTATAACTAAGTTAAAATTATAGAAATTAAATTGTATTGAGATAAAGTTTATGAATTGAATTATAATTGAGTCAAAATTATCACAGTAAAATGATTAATTTTCTCAAAATAACATTAAATACGGTTTTTCTTAGGAGGGCTAATTTTTTTAAGACAAAAAATATTGATTATAGTCACGAATAAATACCTTTTTATTTATGCATTAAAATATAACTCATTTGTGAATTTAATATCAAGTTACACGAATAATCACTTATTGTTGAATAACGATAATAGAAGTTATATTAAATACAAAATTATCAGGTAAAAAAATATAAAAATTAAAATGTTATTGCCAGTATGTGTTGTAACTTCTGTGTTATTTTTGGCATAATGCAATTTTTCCTGTGGATATAGGAACGGGAATAGGATTCCAACCTTTCCACTGTTTGGTTGAATGATTGCCGCACCATTCCATTCCATCATTTTGATGACATGCGAATTCCATCCCCAAATTGACCGCATCAAGCCATCAATAATCATCCGCGTTTCAGGAAAGCACCTTTTCATTTACGAAAATTACTCAAGTCAAAACAAAATTACCAAAATACTCTTCTGCCAGTTGAATGTTTTCCCCAAAAAAAAAATCAAAAGATAAAATAAAAAAATGAATATATGAAAATTCTTAACAATAGAAATTTTATCTTAAGTATTTTAATATATTTTTAATGCTTTATTTGATCTGGGGGTAATATTGTCCAATCAAATACAAAATATTTATTTCTTTTTATGGCACCCTCCACTTATTTATTTTATTCCATTAAATGCCATTCACAATCACACTCTTATTTTACTTGTATGCTAATAATAGTAGTGTTACGCTGTTACTTTAGCAGTAGTACTGTACAATCGTACAGGCGTAAAGTATTCTGATTCCCATTACAAAAGTTGAAAAACCATGAACCACACAGTCGCAAGGGCTTTCAAAACAGGGGTGAGAGGTCTCAAGTGTCTCACCGAACCCCTTATAAATGTACTATCCTCAGAACTTAACATATTAAATTAAAAAAATGATATATAAAAAATTGAAAATTCTAATATTCCAATTCAGATATTTAAGAGATCAAAATTTTAGGGTAAGAAGTGATGCCTAATTTGTTACTCTGTAAATATAGTTAAATGACAAAAATGTTTTTGTATTAAAAAGTTTATTAACAGGTTGTGAGTTAACAATGACCAGTGTTGAACAGTAAATGACAAGAAATATACTGGTAATGACAAGTTTAATAGTTTTTTTTTAAAGAAAATCTAATACAAGGGCAATTTAGTCATTTGACTCTATTTGCAAAATACCAGACCAGACACAACTTTTTTTTTGGGATTTTGACCTCTTAAGTGCTTGAATTAAAATATTACAATTTTCAACTTCTTTTTATGTCATTTTCCCTTAAATTAATTTTTTTAAAATATCTTTGCTAATAATGTGTATTAGTTAAAATTACTATTTGATAAAACCTTTAACACATGTAATTATTACAAAAATTACATTAAATATATATGTAAATATGAAGGACAAAGTAAATTGTTTTGTACTTATGACCAAATTAAATTATAACCCGAAGTAATATATGTGAATAATGGATTATGATCTCCTAACTATAATTTAAAAGATAAAATATTTCGTCGTTAAAAAAATGACGTGGAGTTCACACATTTTTCTACCCGTTGTTTATAATTCTCTACCTACTTCCAGAATTATTTTTAGCCCTTTAGGAGACCTTTCCCAAATAATATATTTGAGTATTTCGGCCAAAAAAAAAAGTAACACATTTGAGTATAAAAAAAGGACTATTATATACCATATATAGTCAAGGGTGTGGTCTTTTTGATAGGTTTATTTTAATTTTAAATGTAAAATCTCAACTTATTTTATTTTTTAAATTTATATGTTTTTTAAAAAATTCCATTAATTATGTATATATTAAGGAGTTTTTTTTTGCCCAAGGAGTTTTTTTTATTAAGAAAGTAATTTATAATACAAATAATTAAAATGGATACCTTATAAAAAAAATTAACACATACTTTATTAAAAAAATCGGCTTAATCATACTTTATAAAAAAAATCAGCTTAACTAATTTTTCATATTTTTACAAATTAATTATTAAACTCATATATTTAGGATCTAATATAGTACTGTCAATAATTAAAAAATATATGTGATGTATATACCTACTGAATATGATGTGCATAAAAATGCAATACATAAGATCCACACCAAATTAAATGTAAATGTTTTTGCCGTTGGGGACTTATTAACTGTATGATTACTATAATATAGACTTTGTTTAGCGAGGAGTGTGAAAGAAAACCCCATCATAAGCAAAGAGTCTCAACTCTCTCAGCCACCATTTTTCTTGTCTTTGTAAATCTAATCAAATAATACTTTCAATTTATAATACAAGTGTTAGACAACTAATTTAAAAAATTTTAAAAATTAGTTAAATTAATTATTTATAATAAATGTGCATTGATTTTTTTTAAATTACCTTTATTTAATTATATACATTAAAACTATACTTTGGGCAGAAATACCTTATAATCAATAAAGATATTTTTAATAACATATTATAAATTTAAGAGATAAAATGGATTAAGATTTTATATTTAAAACTGTCAACTAGTTTTTATATTTTGGATCAGAGATAGTAACTTATTAACTCTCATCAGTGTTTAATTTAGGAACGGGAATAGGATTCCAACCTTTCCACTGTTTTTAATTTAGGAACGGGAATAGGATTCCAACCTTTCCACTGTTTGGTTGAATAATTGCTGCACCATTCCGTTCCATCATTTTGATGACATACGAATTCTATCCCCAAATTGACTGGTTCGAAACCTTTCTTTTTTCCTTCCCATCCTCTTCTCTCTCTTTTTTTTAATCGTGAGATTAACATATTTTAATGATTTAGATTTTAATTTTTTATACACTATTTCTAAAAAAATTTTAAAAACATTTAGTGCACTTACAAATCATTAAATTAAAGTTTAATATAGTTTATAATTTATAATTTATTTATTTTTATAATTTACTATTTTAATAATAAACATCCACGTTTCAGGAAAGCACCTTTTCAGTTACGAAAATTAGTCAAGTCAAAACAAAATTACCAAAACACTCTTCTGGCACTTGAATGTTTTCAAAAAAATTCAAAAGATAAAATAAAAAATGAATAAATGAAAATTCTTAACAACAGAAAATTTATCTTGAGTATTTAATATATTTTTATGCTTTGTTTGATCTAGGGGTAATATTGTCCAATCAAATACAAAATATCTATTTCATTTTGTGGCACACTCGACGTATTTATTTTATTCCATTAAACGCCATTCACAATCACACTTTTATTTTACTTGTATACTAATAATAGTAGCATTACTTTAGTAGTAGTACTGTACAATTGTACAGTCGTAAAGAATTCTGATTCCCATTACAAAAGTGGGAAAACTATGAAGTCACGAGGGCTTTCAAAACAGAAGTTTCAGAAGTCCTATTAAACCCCTTATAAATGTACCACTTTCGGTACTTAACATATTAAATTAATTATCTCTGCTGGTGAAAAAAATTAATTATTTATAATAAATAAATATCATTTTTTTAAAAATATCTTTACTAATAATATGCATTAATTAAAATTACTATTTGATGGAAACTTTAATATAAGCAATAACTATAAGGATTACATTAAAAACATAGATAAATGTAACAGAAAAAATGAATTATTTTATATTTATAAACAAATTGAATGTCAAACCAAGTTTATAAAAGAAGGTAATATCTGTTAATAATAGATTATGATCTCCTAACTAGTTTAAAAGATAAAATATTTAGTGGTTAAGAAAAGTAAAAATTGTAATAAAGTCTTATCTAAAATTAAATGCAAAAAAGTCTCTTAAAATCATCAAGTTATTTTGAAGTCCTAAGAGACCTCGTTGCAAAAGATTTTATTTATTTAATTATTAAATTATCTTTATTTTTTTTTAGTTTATATTGATAACTAAAAAAGCAGTAGCTACCAATTTAAGATATAACAATCAACAACTATCGTGATAAGTATTGGTAACACATTTTTTTAATGCATCACAAAAATACAATCCATAAGTTATCAATAGCTACCGCAATAGTTGTTAATCCGTACATCTTAAATTGTTAACGACTGTACTTTCAATTGTCAATGTATATTTTGAAAAAAAAACAATTTAGTAATTAAATAAATAAAGCCTCTAGCAATAAAGTGCGTTAGAATTTCAGAATAATTTGATATTTTAAGAGATTGTTTTATATATAATTTTTTTTCAGGGGGGACCTTATTATAATTTTTCTTTAAAAAATGACTTGGAGTTCACACACCTTTTTTTCCGTTGTTTATCATTCTCCACCTGCCTCCAGAATTATTTTTAGCCCTTTGGGAGACCTTTCCCACGCAACATTTTGTTTTTTTTGGGAATGATCAAGTAACACACTTGAGTATAAACAAGAGCTATTACATACCATATATAGTCAAGGACTTGGTCTTTTTAATAGGTCTATTTTAATTTTAAATGTAAAATCTCAACTTAATTTATTTTTTAAGTTTATACATTCTTTTAAATTTTTTTATTAAT